GAAGTATATAAAGGAGATGAGTTTAAAAACAAAATGAGAAAAGGAAATGTGTCAGGATCAGTGGTTGGCTGTGTGTTGGAAAAATAAGAGGCAAGAGTAGATGCCATAGAAGCTAGTAGAACTCTGTGGGTATTAGGGAAGATCTGTGTCTCAGCAGTGAGGCACAGAAACCCCAGAAGGGTGAGTCATTATATTTTAGGACATGTGGGGGACCTGGCCCAGGTCCTGGCACTGTCTGTCACCTGACAAAAGCCCACATTCCTTACGGGTGAAACAAGGAGATTGGGTCAGTTGGTCTCATAAAGCCTCACAATAATATGACGTAAGAAATGTACGCATTATCCTGCCCATGTAATTGTAACCCCTCTGTACAGTATGTTCACAAATAAAATTAAATTAAATATAAAAAAATAATATGAGGACATTTTCAAAACCAGCATTGTGTCTATCAACATCCCAAGCAAAGATATCACAGTTTGGAATTCTAGAAACTGTAACAATAAACATTTATCTCTATGGTAAACATTTACTACATACTCACGATGTAGGAAGTGCCATCATCACTAATGTTCTTTAATAGTAAGCAAAACAAAATCTTCCTGTCTCATGAAGCTGCATTTTAGGGAAAGCGGCAGAAAATCAAATACACACATAAATGAACACGTTAGTTTGAAGTGCCCATAATTACCACCAAGACAATAAATTATGCTGATAGCTCATGCCTGTAATCCTAGCTGCTCCAGAGACTGAGATCTAAGGACTGCAGTTCAAAGCCAGCCTGGGCAGAAAAGTCCCCATGAGACTCTTGCTGTGACTTAAAGTGGTAGAGCACTAGCCTTGAGCAAAAGAGCTCAGGGATAGTGCCCAGACCCTGAGTTCAAGCCCCATGAGAAGAGAGAGAGAAAAAAAGACAATAAATTACAAAGTGTAAAGGGTGTCCATGTATGAAGGGAAGAACCATCTCTGAGAATATAATATTCAAATGAGGCTAATTTTAGGAAGAAAAAAGCTGTGAGACTGAAGCTAGTTAGGATGAACTGAAAAGACCCCCGGAAGGAATGCGTTTGACACATTTAAACAAGAGAAGTGTGACTCCATTAATTGAGCAAGGAGAACATAGAGAATTAAACCAGCATCAAATCAAATGAGAACGTGGGAGCAATTGTAAGCAATTTAGACCTCATACCAGTTGTAAAGTTTTAAGCAGGAAAATGAGTGCATCTACTTTAGGAAAAGATGGCTTTGGTGATTCCATTACAGACTAAACGATAACAGAATTCAGTGTAGGAGTGCTGCCTCTGCTCCAGTCTTAGTAACAAGTATGGACATTTTCTTCCTTGGGGGAAGTAAGAAGAGTAACAAGAGTGAAACTGACTCTCCTTCATTCTCTTAGGGTCCTGTTCCTATGTAATACAGAAACATTGTTTGCTGCTTTTTTTTTTTAATTACATGCGCACAGCTTTAAAAAAATTAAAACAACATGACAGCTTCTTTTGCTTTTAAAGATACTGAGATCAGGCCATGAAGGTTAGTGGCTACAAAGTTTTGGGTGTTGAAAGTAACACCATCAACATTTTATAATCATACCTTATTGGGTATTTGTTAGTTTGTTTTGTCCATTCCTGGGGCTTGAACTCTGGGACTGTGCACTTTCCCTGAGCTTCTTTGCTCAAGACTAGCACTCAACTACTTGAGCCAAGTAGAGGCCAACCCTTCTGATTTTTTTTCTGAGTAGTTTATCGGAGATAAGAGTCTCATGGACTTTCTTGCGTGGGCTGGCTTCAAACTGCAATGCTCAGATCCTGCATAGCTAGGATTACAGGCCACTGGTGCCCGGCCTCCTATGAGGTAATTTAAAAAATCATACTAATCACAGTGACATGATAACTTATTGGATTGAAATGTTTTGTAATATGAATCCACAGTCCCTTATGTGAAATACTAGAGGACCAAAAACCTCCGTTTTCATAAACATACATAATACCCAAAGCTACTATGAACATGTTTGATGCTTATAGTCTCTTTTTAATCTCACTTCCTGTGACTATTCATATTTCACGGCAGAAGTATTCATATATTTGATTACTTCTCCAAACTCCAGAGGAGGATACCCTATAATCTATGACATATGTTTACCACACACTTCTGACAGTAATATGCGGTTCGGTAGTACTACTTGGCATGTGACTTGGTTTTCAGTTAGTTACTCCAGTAATAAGCAAACACACAAGTTTACCTCTGATTGGTTATTTCTCCATGTGTGAGCTATAGTTTAAAAACTAATATCAGTTTGTAGTTAATGTTTAATACCTCAAGCCTTTGAAAGGAAAAATACTTTTTTTTAAAAGATTATCTTTTTTCTTTTCTTTTCTTTTTTTTTTTGGTCAGTCGTGGGGCTTAAACTCTGGGCCTGGGTGCTGTCCTTCAGCTCTTCAGCTCAAGGCTAGCACTCTACCACTTGAGCCACAGCACCACTTCTGGCTTTTTCTGCTTATGTGGTGCTGAGGAATCAAACTCAAGGCCTCATGCATATGCAAGGCAAGTGCTCTACCACTGAGCCACCTTCCCAGCCCCTTGTCTTGTCTTTTCTTTCTTTCTTTCTTTTTTTCCCTTTTCAATCCTAGGGCTTGTACTCAGGGCCTGGGCACTGTCCCTGAGCTGCTTTTGCTCAAGGCTAGCACCCTACCACTTGAGCCACAGTGCCACTTCAGCTTTTCTGTTAATGTGGTACTGACAAATCAAACCCAGGGCTTCCTGCATGCTAGGCAAGCACTCTACCACTGAGCCGCCTTCCCAGCCAAGGGAAAATAATTTTACTTCATAGATGACTGATAAAAGTGAAAACACACTGAGCCCCAAACTCGCATTCTCCACTGTGTGTCGTGTCATTCTCTGGGGAGACAGTGGTTGCATGCAGTCCCTCTGCCTCCAGTTCTAACTGTCTAAGAATGGCGCTCAGGCCCTCTTCCAGTGTTAAGAGATGCCTGCAAACACCTTGTTCTGAATACAAACTGAATACATAGCTGAGAAAGGGGATTTCTATTCTTTTTACAAGGAGCGTATAATTGTTCCTCAATGCCAAAGGAGAAGGACTTAAGTTGTTCACCGTCTGACCTAACTGTGTGGTAGCCAGGCTCTAAGAAAACCCTCAATGATTCTCTCCTCCTGCTATTCATGCTTCTGTGTGCTCCCTTCCATTTAGAATAAGGTTAACCTGTGTACGCAATAGGGTTTTTTCTGATTTTTTCTGAAGTGGCAAAGTGTGTGACTTCTGAGGTTTGGACATAAAAGACACTTTGGTTTCTGCCTTGCCCTCCCTTAGAACATACATTTTGGAAGCTAACTGTGGTATCATGAGAACACTCAAACAGTCTTGTAGAAAGTTTCATGTGGCTAGCAGCTGACAGCCAGCCAATAACAAGCACAAAATTGACCGACATTCTAAGTCACCTTGGAAGTATATTCTCCTCACTGCTTAAACCTTCAGTGGCTTGCAGCCCCAGACAACAACTTGGTTTCAAGTTCATGAGATACCCCAAGCCAAATTAACCCAGCCAAGCCACTCCTAGATTCCTGGAATCAGTTTTAAGCTGCTAAGTTAGGGGGCTGTTACACAGCAGTATATAATCAATATCCTTGGATCTTTGATTCAAGGAAAATATGTTGCTTTAGCTGATTATAAAAGTAATAAGACATTTTTGAATTTCAGACAGATATATATGACCTGGAAAAATGGAAATTTCCTATAACATAATCTTGATAATGTATAGAATATAGTTCTATTTTTTCTCCACGTAAAATACTAATGAATGTATGTGTATACAAATATGCGTGTAAATTGTATGACTGTTTTGTTAAAAGGCACTAGATCATATTAAACATACTGACAACTTGTAGGATTCACTCAATGTGGTATATTCTATAGAAGTTCACATAGATAGATAGATAGAGTCATCAACATATTTATATTTTATCAACATATTTATATTTTATTGTAAATCTCCTACTGGAGATTTGCTGCTTTAGTTTCCGCACATATAAACAGAGAGACAGTGAATGAGCATGTGGGCAAACCTGCAGCATATATTTTCAGAAAGAGAAATACTGGATCAAAAGTGGGTACATCTAACATTGTGATAGGTGGGCTAGGGTCATGGGGCTCTGGATTAGATCTCCCACACCAGAAAATAAAATAAAAAGCAAACAAATAAAGTAAAACAAATTCTGACAAGTACTTCCAAATTGCCGTCCTCAAACTTTGGACTAATGCATTTGCTCAGGTCATCTAAAGATCTAGGTGATCTATATGTTGCCCCTTGAATAGCACCGGGTATGCACTGTCACTGTCAGTCAGGCAGGTGCAGTGGTTTTCTTTAGTGCTTCATTGTTAGCCATAATTTCAAGTGTTTGCAGGTCACTTGTTGCTCTTGTGCTTGAAATTACCTTCTGTCTTTGCCTGTCTTGATACCAGGTTGTCTTATATATCAGTTTGCAAGAACTCTTTGGGTGCATGTGTATGTGCCAGTCCTGAGGCTTGAACTCAGAGCCTGGGAGCTGTTCTTGAGCATCTTTTTGCTCAAGGCTAACACTCTACCACTTGAGCCACTTCTGGCATTAGACTTTCCAGCCAGGAATAGCTTCAAACTGTGATCCTCAGATCTCAGCTTCCTGAGGAGCTAGGATTATAGGTGTGAGCCACCAGTATCCAGCAAGCCCTCTTTTTATTGTATCATTGTGTTCAGCTCTTTACCTATAACAGAGTGCGTAGAAAATTTCTCCTTAGGGTCAAACATAACTCTTTTTAAACATTGCATTTAGAAACTTTCCTGTCATGATGTCATCACCCAATGATAAAGCATGAAATAGGCTTCACAACTCTTAAGTGATTAGCAGGAAAATAAAAAGAAGAAGAAAGCATTTCCTACAAAAGTAATTTCTACAAATGTCATCCACGTTTAACTTCAGTACTGATGACCCAGTTGTCTCTTGTCTCCTTCCAGTACACCGAATACCACATCCACCAAATTCCAAGAAGCCGTGAGGTCCAGCAGTCCTGGCTGTCCACAGTGCTCACCACCACGTGGGCCATTTGGTTCTCCTTTCCCACGGTTTTCCGGATAAAGCCAGATTTGGTATGTAAGACCATCTCCAAGGAAAGGGAGGCCAACTCTCCTTTGGGCCTTTCAGTAATGATAAGATTTATTATTTCATTAAGCAGTTATCACTTAATAGTGTACCAGGTAATGTACTAAGCTTTTCGAAAGGTACGTTAAAATCTATCATTTTAAGAGCATGTTGCTGAAGAGCTGAGAAGTTGGCCTTCTTTTCTAGCCATTCACTTGAACTCAAAACTTCCCCCTTTCTCTTCTTTGTTCTATGTTGATAAACCAACAGAGCGGTGTCTTTAGCCCACTTATATGCCTATTCACCTGTGGTCAGCCAGAGAATCATCATTCCTTTACTTGTTTCCGGTAGGCTTTGCAGTTTTATCAAGATGTTTTCAGGGGCACAGGCAGCACTAGGACTTGAATTCAGACATTATGCTCAGTGGACAGGCACTCTACCATCTGAGCCACACCGTCAGCCTAAGACTCTTATCAAGTATGGTATGCAGCAGGCAGAATGTCATAAGCACGTAACACTTGGCCAGCTTTTTTGCTCTTGGCTGATGCTCTATCACTTGAGCCACTCCTCTTTTTGCTGGTTAATTGGAGATAAGAGTCTTGTGGATTTGTCTCCCCTGACAGACTTTGAACCTCAATCCTTAGTTCTTTGCCTCCTGAATAGCTGGGATTACACAGGCGCCTGCCTTGAGTAGGAGTGTTTAAGTTAGCCTGATAATCTCATTCTCTGAGAAACACCTCCTGGAAGAGAAATTAGTTTGTTGTAGGGACAAGATGAGAAAGTTCAATTTGCCAGGTGAAGAGGTCTGCCTGTGTCTCCCACACAGGGAGGGGAAATCTGTAAACTTCTTGAGGGTAAGGTCCAAGTATTTGGGGGTTTCCCATGGTCCTTTCCTAGAAAAGTGTTTCCACATATTTGTAGAATGACTTAAAAAGAAATGAATGAATGCTGGATGATGTGAGTCATGACACAAACAAAAACACCCACTCCCTAAATTGGTACTCTCCTTGAGCTTTTCTTAAGAATCTGAAAACCCAGGAGCTGTTTCCAAAGTTTTCAAGAGTTTTATCACTGGCTTCATTCCAACTTGGCTGTTGTTAAATGAAACATTTAAAGAAAGAGCCCTGAATTTAAAAAAAAATAGAAAGAAAAAAGAGAAACCTAATTTAGTATCTAATTGAGTAAAAAAATAAATTTTAGATATCCAATATGTAACAAATTGGAAATAAATAGGCCTTTCCTGTCTAATAGGCTGCCTCTTTGCCTGAGGCTGATTTGGTTCACCATGGCAAATTTAGATGTACTTTTAACATCTCTACTCATACTTCATATGAAAGAAGGCCCTTGTTTTACTTGCACATTTTTTCCCATTCCATACCCAGCTTGAGCAAGAAATGTCTAAGTTCATAGCAGTAAGTGAGTTGACAACATTAGATAGCAGGTTATTGTTCTTAATAGGATAGTGTAACTTTTTCTAATGGAATCTTTTCTGTGGTGAACCACAAACTAGGTAGCACCAAGATTATCTGTTTGAATAGCATATAAAATTTTGATTGACTTACTAATTAACATGTGTTTGACACATTATAAAGCGTTGATTAACTTTTTGTCCATGTGCCAGAACACTTAAGAGAAACTTTGTTTTTTCCTTTGTTGATTTGATTCTATTTGTAACACAACCTTCATCTGGTATTATATTTGGGGGTGATTAAGAAAACTTTTATAATATAGTTCAAAGGAAATTTAGCTAGACAAAGAAACAATCTGCTATCTCAAGATGCCTATCTAGAAATGAAGTTCAGTGAGAATAAGATTTCAAGCCAAGCCCAGTGAGAAACAATTAGACCACACCGTGTGTAACTGCTGCATGCTTTCCAAGATGAATGAAATCATACTTGGGAGCCACAGTTTCTGTGTTGCTCAGTCCACTGTAAAACATTAAGATACTGCCCACATTTCTCTTTCCCAGCCTGATTCTTTTCACCTATGCTTTTTTTTTTTTTTTTTTTGGTCCAGTCGTGGGGCCTGAACTCTGGGCCTGGGCACTGTCCCTCAGCTCTTCAGCTCAAGGCTTGCACTCTACCACTTGAGCCACAGCGCCACTTCCGGCTTTTTTCTTTTTGCTTATGTGGTGCTGAGGAATCGAACTCAGGGCCTCAGGCATGCAAGGCAAGCGCTCTACCACTGAGCCACCTTCCCAGCCCTCACCTATGCTTTATAAGATAAGCAATTGCCAGATACAGAAGTACCAGCTTCTAACTTTACATGCACTTAGCCAGTCTAACAATGGTCAGAGTAAGAAGTGATTTGATGTGAAAAGCCTGTCCACTATCAGGTTTCTTGTGACTGACATACTGCTTTTCTCAACTCCATGGACAAACTACCAGCTATGCCACTGCGATGCTGGGTGGGCAACAACCTGTGGCTACTTGTGCCCACAGATGAGGTATTTACTCTAACTGTTATGGCTTCTGTTTCCCATTGAGAGAGAAAAATCACATTGAGAGAACAAAATCAGTGCCAAAATCAGATGATGTATTATCAGAAATGTCCTTGAACTGTTTTGATCATGTTCTCTGTTAAGGGACTCTCAGAAGCCTGAAGGAAGATTTTCTTTTCCTACATTGATTCCTTTTTCCACTTGACAAACATTACACATTTTTCCCTCCCTGCAGAAGCCAGTGTGGCTTCGCCTACCATTTTTGCTCTCTTGTTGAGCTTTGCTTGCATCACTGGCTCAGCTGTTCCTGATCCAGACCACCAGGCACGTCAGGTGTGGGCCTGGTGTGGCCTCTTCTTTCAAGGTGAAAGCAGGTGTGTTCTCCAAGGGTCAGTAGTGTAGCTACAGCAGAAAAACAGAAATGAAAGTGGAAGGAAAAGGAACGCAGTGAAGAGAACGTTAGGAAGGGGTGGCATGGGAGGAGGCAGAGCTATCTGCAAAGAAAGGGCTGATGTGCAGCCACAGAGACCATAGATGTGGAGAGACCTGGCCTTGTGGACAGGGTGCCCGGAGGTGCTGGGGCTTCCTGGAAACACAGGGTGGAATAAAGAGGAAGGAAATCTTCACAGTGACCTTGGAAGCATAAGTAGTTCCTAGAGCCAGTCCAGCTTTGTATACTTTCAATGCCTATTTATAGTCTGTTTTAAAATTAAAAGTTAGAAATTAATTCAATTAATTAAAATTTTGGATTTTAATTAAAAATTTAAAAAAGAAAAGCTTTGGTGGTACTGGGGTTTGAACTTAGGGTCTTTAGCTTGCTAGACAATTGTTTTACCATTTGAACCATGCTTTCCAACTCCCCCTCCCCCCCACCCCGCCCAGAAGCCATCTTTGTATAGCATCTGAAAAATCAATGAACGGATGCTTTTGCTTTTTCAAGTCCTCTTTTAATCTGACAAAAGACAAGACACAAAAAGTGGAAACAGTTGCCTATGGAACTGGAAGAGCTTAGGGAGAAGACTACAGCCCAAGCTGAGTAGGATGGTTAAAGGTCTGGAGACTTTGTAAGTAGAATTGTTTGGAAGTGGCCAATTGTTTGGAGATGTTGTAAGTTTGAATATAGGGAGTGAACCCCTTCAGGAATGGCCAGTTGTATGGCTCCTTGTGGCCACCCTGGCACCTGTGCAAGCGTGTCTGCGGTCCTCTGGTATTGAGAGAAAAGTTGGGTGAGAGGGGAACGGGAGGGGAGAAGTCAGCAGTGCCTTCAAAATTTGAGATCTGGTTACAGCCTAAGGTGGGGTAGAAGAAATCGAAATTGTATAACTGGTTCTTGATTGACGTTTGCTTCCTCTGAATTTATCCCTGGAATTCAACTAAGGCTTTTCATGAATAACACATTTGGGAAATGTTAAGCATTCTCTTGGTCTGAATAATCAAAAGGTAATGGCAAATAGTTACAAAACCAGCAGGCACCAAAACAGACACTTAGACCAAGGAATAAAATAAAGGACCCAGAAATAGACTCACATAGCTACAAGCACCTGACTCTCAGTGAAGATGCTAAAACATGCATTGCAGAAAAGACAGCCTCTTCAAATGGTGCTAGGAGAACAGAATATCCACACATAGAACACTGAAACAAGTTCCTGATCTATTACCTTGTAAAAAAAAAATCAATTAGAATAGACCAAAGACCTTAATGTAAGACCTGAAACTTATTTGTGCATGTACATGCTCTAGGGTTTGACTCAGGGCCTTGAGTCCTCTTTTGACTTTTTCTGCTCATAGCTGGGTACTGGACCACTCCTCCAGTCTGATTTTTGCTGGTTAATTGAAGATAAAATCTCTCAGACTTTCCTTTGCTCTCCTCCAGATTTCTGTCCCTTGAGCAACTTGGATTACAGGCATGAGCACCCATTGCCTGGTTTTCTTCCTAATTCTTTGTTTTCTTGCCATGTTTACCCCCAAGTCACTGGGTAAATGTATCCTTTTTTTCCCCTTAAGGTTAGCATTTACTTTTGCTGGCAAAGTAAAGCATTTATTCCCAGCATAAAACATGTGACGTTAAATCAGCTCTAGAAAACTGATTGCTCTGCCAGTTAGGATGCAGTTTGACATTCCACTTATACCAGCACAGCATTTTGTAGCATATGTAGGCCACGCTGTTTCTCACTTTCCATGGTGCCTTTTCCACATAGTCAAAAGGATAGACTAAGGCTGCAGGTGCAGCTCAAATGGTAGAGTACCTGCCTGGTGAGAACAAGGCCTCGAGTTCAAAGCAAAACTTATTTTCTCTAAGATGCATGGTAAATGATTATAGAAATAGTCTTCAAATAGATCGTACACTCAGGGATAAGGAAGCTGCATTTACCACAAACTTACTGAGAACTCTGTAAACACTTTACACATTTCAAACATTGTTGCGGTTTATAGAAAATGATATGTTCACATTATTGTTCAGAAGGCCATAAAAGGTCAGATTAGAAACAGATTAGGAAGCCTGAACTGATATTACACACTCTTAAAAATAGCAACAAGCTCCCCAGTGATAAGATGTTTGAATTACAG